AATATCAACTGGAACCAAGTACAGATCCTCATCACTCAGCTCTTAGATTGCCTGCGCTGACGCCCAGCATCCAGCTAGAAGCCGACGATTACGTGCGCGCTGCCAAAGCTGTGTTACCTCTTAAAGAGCCGAAAGACCGCACCTTTGCCGATCTGACACGGAAGGATGGAAAGTTTGACGACGCAGAACTGGCCCGGCTGATTTACGAGGCCACTGAGGCGCCTGCTGGCGAGTTTCGGGCGCTAGGCACCCCTGGCGGTGAGAAATTCATTTTTACAGCAAACGCTAGCTTACCCAGCGACGGCAGTCATGTCATTCATCGACATAATAGGTATCAAGAGGGCAAGGGCAATGAAGTAAGATATGAATTCCCTTGCAATGATTACATTAACCTTCTCGCTGCGACCGCTAGTACTTGCTCCTTGAATCAGTTCCGGGAGTGGCTTGGGTTTCCTCGTACGTTCGTTCATTGAGTGCCATATGGCTGACCTGACTGGAAGCTCATATTTATTCAGCTTACAAGACTTTCGAAGAATGGAACGCCAATAAAGCCATTGCTGAAGAAGCCAGCAGGCTATACAACGGCAACATTGACGACCTAGAGCTGTATCCTGGCCTCCACGCCGAAGGTCACAAAGACGACGGACTCACCCATGACTCGGACACCAAGTACAGCCCACTGCGAATTAGCACCATGAGGAATGGGCTGCTGTTTGACGCTATTGCTTTGGTATGCTCAGATGCGTTTCCTCGACCTCTATGTGTAACTAATGACGAGCACTAGATTCGCGGCGATCGCTTCTTTACGACTGCCTTCACTGGTGCGTGGCTTTTTCTTCTATCGGCCCAGACAGCTAATGCCCGCACCTCAGAGGGAAACTATACTAAGTGGGGATATGCAGATGTCCAGCGGGATCAAGCCAACAAAGCTTTCGGGGGTCACAGTGCGTTATGTGTGCAAGCTGTGGTCGCCCTTTTTCTCTAACTGTGGCATTCATCCTAGTCCACAAACTTCTCTTCCGGACGTTGAAGGATCACTTCCCTCAGAACAGTATCTATTCCTGGTTCCCTATGACTACGCCCGATGGCGTGAGAGCTGCGTTCGAGCGTCAGAAGGTGAACTTGAATGACTGGGACCTCGAGAGACCGAAGGGCAAGCAGTAGATGTCTATGAAGTATTTACTTGCGCTTTGAGCTCGCACAACTTTGTCACATCTTTGAGAATAATGTCGCAATCATGAATCATGATGGCTTGGGCTGTACCGCAATTCGCCCGTTGCTCTCGGTTTTTTTTGGAATGGATTTTGCAAGACACCTGCGAGCGGCGCAATCCGTGGAGCCGAAGCGGAATTTGTAGCAAAAAGCGGATTGCGAGCGGGAACTCGAGAGCATCCACAGTACGGGATGGCCAACTGACACATCTACACCATGGATTAGTACTTATGTCACGAAAAGCATACGTAATATCAGCTTGAGAAGGGTGCAAGGATAATTACAGAGCCGGAGAGCGGCGCCTCGCTTATTTCTTGATTAAGACTGAAAAAGTCCTGCAACAGTAGACAACATTGAATCATGATGTGTAGATCAAATGCTTACATTAACCGTAAACCAACGCCGCTCCAGTCGCCTGTCATGCGATCTCCACCGTGACGTTCTTGAGGAGTGAGACCTCACTGTGTTTAAAATTGACAGAGTTTTGAAAAGAGATTGATGTTCACAGAGGTTGCCACAATCATATTTGCAGGTGTTGCCAGATATGATCTTGCCAACACTTGGGAGAAGCGAGATTGGATTGAGGTTGAATTGGGCTTTGAGAAGCTTGAACATGCTCGCTCGAATTTGAAACTTGCCATGTTCCGCGTCCAAGCTTAAGGCGGCGCTGGGGAAACCTCCTCCATCCTGTCCTCATTTGATTTGTCTAGTGGTGGCAAGGTTCGGTTCGGAAATCCGTCCGAACCTGAACCGAACCTGAACCGGGCACGCGTTCGGCGTTCAGGTTCAGTGAATACTTGAACCTGAACCGAAGGTTCTGTACAGCGTTCGACGGAGAGCAGGCGCGGTCGAACGCCGAACCTGAAATTTGGTCGGTGAGTGACTTCTACATGAGTTTCTCCACTGTTCAGGCTCGGCTTACCCCACACTGCACAGCCTGGGTATTTCTCCCTCGCAGAACACACCTAAATCTTCTCCTCCAGGCAGATTCAAAGCAATTCGATGTTAATTGATGACGGTTTGGTGTCACATAATTTTCTTACGCGAGGATAATTTATCGAGCCACCTGCACAGCTTATTCTTTTGTCCGATATGTTTATTCGACAAATCACTGCTTGTGATTCAACGATTGATGTACATGTGCCCTCCCAGTTCCCGCCCGGCTGCGAAATGTTTTTGCAGACATTTCCCAAACTTTCCCAAACTCATGGACCACTTTCCTCCTCACTGGAGGAAAAATAACTCGACCGAGATTGACTACAAAAAGATGTTTACATGCGGGCTTCCTCCATGCATTGGCACCGTCGAGTACGCCCGCATGATGATTTTTCATCGTCAATCTTAATTCCTTGCAGGATGGACACGGGGAAATACATTGCGCACCTTCACCATCAACATGACTACAACCTTATTCAATGTGCCAAGAATTGCGGCGCGTCGAGCACATGTGATTTCCAACGCTGCTCAGAAGACCACCACGATCCGACTTGTTTCACGCTACCCACGAAGTTTTATCATCACTACGACGCGCTCGTTATGTCGGACGAGCGGTTCCCTAAAAAGGAACGGATCGTCATGCCGGACGTTACTCTTGTGGACTACTTATCACAAGACCGATGAACAACCGTTGGCCTCCCCCACCTCTGACATGCACGTGACCCTTTCCCCATCATGTGATGTAAACACGTCTGTACAACAAACAAGCTTTGAGACCCGTGCCTTCGGCATGGATTTCTCGACAGTAAATTGTCTACATATGTGAATTTCTTTATCTAGTATTGTATATTTATCCCGCAGAAACACAGTTATGTAAATATTTTTCACAATCATGGAGGTTCATACTGATCTCCAAGAAGCACCTCAGCCGGATATATATATTTTTGGGTGGAATCAAGAATCACAATTTTTGAGAATGAGTGAGACTCAGACTTCAGAATCGGTCCTCACCCTCACCTCACACTTGGCCTCCTATTGCGTATTCAGTTTATTTCCCTCGATTATATTCTGTAATAAACCCACATATCACATATCTCAGCTGTTTCCCTCCACAGTGTGTCAGGCCAATGCATGCTTGCCTTACGGCAAACCAACACCCGAGCAATGGCCAAGAAAATCATTCAAAAGTTGTCTCATGCCGACCAATATTTTGAGTTGCCTAGCGCACTTATAGAAGCCCAACTCTATTATGAGGAACTCACATCATGATATGTGTAGCAGTGAAAGAAAGCAGCAGCAACCTCAGAAATATTAATTTAGTCAAAGTTCATTTCAATTCTTGCATGATTCACATTTTAGAATCAATCTAAAGGAGAATTAGCAGTCAAATCAACTGCTTTGACTTACCTTATTATCAACAGACCAGCCCTGGGCTTTATTGATTAGCATGCAAAATGCGACCCAAATTGGATATTGGAGCACATTTCGCAAGTGATCTAGGAGTAATTGAGATTTGTAGAATAAACACCATCTTGCCACTGTGTTCCCCCCTGATGAGACAGAACACATGGGAAGTGATTCTGGTTAGAATTCCTTGAGATTTATTGCAGAGGCCACATGCTGCATCAAAGGGTTATTATAATGGAGCATCAGTCTGAACACACGGAGGTGTATTTGGTAGAGTGTGATTTCTTATCCAAAAATTATGTTAGTGAATAGAGGAACAACAGAAAACTCCTACATCAGTGAAATGAAGCAGACACTTAGAAACACAGGAGAAAGAGTCAGCATGAAAAATAAAATATATACCTATGTAGGACTCATTGTTAGATATTCTAAAAGAAGAAAGAAAAGAGACTGACCTAGTACTGTCAACACTAATTGGAATTCAAGGCCAAAGGGCGCAAACAGCATTGGGAACAACTTAAAAATGTCAGTGGTGCTAAAAGCAAGGCTAAAAGAGCAGTATTATTTGAAGTATTATACTAACTGTGGAGGGGAGGGAGAGGGAGGGTTGTCTGATGCTTTCTCATTGCAGCCGCAGCCTCATTGCTTTGCGCGCACATGTACGATGGCGGGATTATCAGGGTTTTTTTTGATATGACTATGTAATATAGTGTTTTCTGAAAAATCATGGTTTTAACTAGGACAGTTTTAGCACAATGAATAATGATCCGATTGAGCTAATTCTTGAATGTGTTATGTATCTGGGATATTACTAGAGGATGGTGCACCACCATACGCAATATCCTGACCCAACACAATTTTGTGTTCAGTTTAGTGAGGGCAATATTCATGTCCTGTGAGAAGCAGAGCTCTGGATTGGAACTGGGGTATACCCATATCTGTAGACCTCATGGTCCCCTAGAGATAGTTTAAATACATGAGATATCCAAAAACTAGGTCAATCAGATTATTATTCATTGTGCTACAGCTGTCCTAGTTAAAACCATGATTTTTCAGAAAAAAATCTATTATGTAGTCGTATCAAAAAAAAGCCAGTATTTCATCCTCTGCGGATTTTCAATGCAATTTGAACGCACCTCCTCCAAAGGAAATCCGATCAAAACTCAGCCCATGGCAGCTGTTCTAGTCAAAACTGTTGAAAATAGAAAAAAACAAGCCCCGCCTTATGTTCCGCAAAGTGCTGTAATGAAGTCAGAAGCATTGAGTACAAACATTTTAGTGAGCAATTCATACTGCCACATAACAAGAAACAGAGTTCCATGACCAGAATGCCTTACTCATTTTTGAATCTTGGCCCGTGCGTGTCACAAATATTTTGCTGTGTTTCTTTCTTAGAGAGTGGCTTCCGACCTTTCTGGGTTGGAGCGGATCGCGGATACATTTATGGGTGCGTGGCGCAATGGTAGCGTGTTCGGCTTCGATGCCTACTCGCGTAACCGAAAGGCTGCAGGTTCGAGCCCTGCCGTGCTCAATTTTTGGACCGGAGGGCAATCACGTTTTCCACTCCCGTGATGCGTGGCCGTCACGCGGGGAATTGGTTTGAATCAGGGTTTCTGGAAACAGCTCAGACATTGTCAGTATCAGAAGACAAACCAGTGTTTTGGGAATTTTGCCTGACATGTAAAGAATAAGATGGTCTGGAATGTCAACTGATATGAACAATGTCAGACCTTGTTTTTGTTATTCCGACACTGGGTGTATTAGCTGGCATTTGTTTGGACCCGATCCTGCCCCTGACACCTGGAGTGTCAGGAGCAGTTTAACTGATGTTTACTCAATCAGTATCAGGCACAACTCACCAGCACAATAAGAATTGGGCGTCCCAATACGGCCATCACTCGGATCAGACAGCCTGATCCCTTATGTGTCAGGGACTTGGTGCCGATACGCTGCCTTTACGTTTCCACGGCACCATGCCTGACACTTCACTTGTCAGGAACAGTGTCAGGCGCAAATGAATTACATCTGACGTGGCTGGTGTCGGAGCAGCTGATATTGTCTCCGACATCTGCAGAATCAGTTATGCAATCAGGCTAGTTTATTTCTCACATATCAGGTAAGAATCCAGTTTACATTATTCAGTCTCTGATATTACAAGTTTCAGGCAAATTTCTGGGTCCCCTGGTTTTCTTTGCTTTGTGGAGTGCGTGGTACAAATCACTCCGCAAAATGAATAGAATCAGTGCTTCCAGAAACATACCTGACACATATAAAATCATAGACCACATAATGAAACCAGGAATGCTACCTGATATGTTGGAAAGATTCTGCGCTGATCTCTTACCTAATTCAGCACATGCCGGAGCTGGTGTCTGCTGTTCCGATACAGTTGGTGTCAGGTGCAAATTATGCGCAGCTGATATTGCTCCTGGAATATTGAGTGTCAGGAGCAGTATCTGGTGCACCTGAACAATAAGGATCAGGCACAGTATCCGGAGGTTCCCTAACACAATAGGAATCAGACAGCCAGACTTTGGCCATCACTCGGCATCAGTGGACCTTATTCTTATTGTGTCTGGGATCCCCCTGACACTGCACCAAATACTTATTGTTCCAGCAGGACAGAAACTGCACCTGATTCTCGAAGTGTCAGGAAGCATATCAGCCACAAATAAATTGTGTCTCACGCAGCTAGTGTCAGAACAGCTGAAACTGATCCCGGCATGTGCTGGATCAGGCAGGGAATCAGAGTGCCTTATTCTTTGTGTATCAGGCAGGATTTCAGCTGACATTTTTCAGTAGCTGATACCACAAGTGCCAGGTACATTTCCGGCTTCACAGATTCAATCAGTTTTCCTCAGTGAATTTTGACTTCTCCACGGGGGCGTGACCCGTGACCGACGAATTGAATTAAACTCTCCAATATATCTACCTCACCAATGTAAAGTTTGTGCTGCTAAACTGTTGGCGGAAATAATTGTTGCAAGTCCGTACGGTGGTAACGTCGTGCGACAGCTAGAATTTACAGTCTTTACATACAGTGCCACATACGACGGCGCTCTTCATTCTGCCCACATCCAGGAGTGAAGAGCATACATCCTCACTTAAAATTGCTGCATTCCTCACTTACTTTACATCTAGTAATTATTATTGTCTCTAGGTATATACAATATACATTCTGCCCACATCCAGGCTGAGTGAAGAGCTAATTATTATTGTCTCTAGACCCCGCGCGCACTGACGGGACCACGGCGCACATCCGCGCCTACCACACTCCTTCCCCACGCTCGTTACTCCACCTGCGTACCCCGCATCTCTATTCTTAACATAAACTTCATCCATGCACCACCTCCTCCTTGCGAATCTCCTGAAGCTCCGCAACACGCAACGAAAACTCATTCCAAAGCTGATGATTTCCGCCCAGATTTCCTCCACCTGAGTCTTCTTCAGGTTGGTGAATATACCGGAAAGGAATCGGGCGACAGGGAATGCCGCATCGGAAATGTGAGAGAACGCGGGATCCAAAACAACTAAGTTATTGAGGACAATTCGTCCCTGGGGAGCACTCACCCAAGGCGGTAAAGTTGTGGCATCAATGGTTATTCCGTGGGTGTGCAAACGGGAGCAGTGCTGCGCGAGCGGCTAGAGGCTGAGTATGGTGGTACGCAGACAATGGTCATCAGCTCATTCTGAGACGAAGGTCCTGGAGATGCGGCCAGGCGTCGGCCAGGTCAGACACCACCTCATCGTCGAGGCCATACCCCTTAAAGACCACAATGGACACGATAGCGAGATTTCCGAAGTAGGTGAAGGATGTGAGGAGGTGCCCCGGGGTACAAACGCCCTTGCGCTGGAATCCATGCTTCCGCACATTCCAACTTGAAGATTTCAAGCGAAGCCGGAAGGCATGTGTCAGGACGGCATAAAATTCCTGGAAATTCTGCAGCCCCACGGAACTGGTGAAACAATCGAATGAAAAGTTGTGAGACCTCCGAGATGGGTCAAAGCCGCGAGATCAAGTGTACCGGCATGAACCCGAGGCCCCGTCAATGTACAGACAGCTGGACTCCGAGTGGAGAGATCACCATCTGTTGGGGTGAGAGTCGGATCCTCTTTGGCTTCAGTCCCGTCGCTTTCCTTATCGCTCTGGTCCTCGTAATTGAAAGTGAGGTCAGGATCGACGTGAGCAATGTAGACCCCGAGGAGGGCAGGATACCTGTAGGCTACATTGGAGCACAGAATCGGGTGCGTTATCCCCGACCGCTCCAATACCGAACACGGTGATTTTCAGTCCCAGGAAGAGATCGGTAAAAGGGAGCAGGCCTTTATTAAAGTGATTCCAGGCAAATTCCTAGAGATTCGGGAGCAGAAGGCCATTCGGAGCCTCTTGTTGAATGGCTTCAAAGACCTGGGTCAAGAGAAGCCCATCATTCTCCAGGCATTTATGCGACTTCACCCGATGCGAATACTTTTTGACGTGGGGCCCAATCCGACGCTACGATTGGCCGAATGGGTTGCTAAAGGTGCTGAAAGGTCAGAATAATCTTGATATGGATAGGGTTACAATTCACCACAGGCCGGCCTCCGATATCCGACAAGAGGGATAAAAATCCGGGCGGAGCGCCAGACATTCGGCATGCAATGCATCAGATTCATGATTGTATCTTGTTCCCTTCGGAATGCGTCCAGCGCAGGATCATGAAAGACATTGCAAGTGCGCGCGAGGGCATCCAGGCCGGCGGCTCCCTATCAAAGAACGGGATTGAGGTAGGAGCAGATATGCGCCAGATAATCTCCGGCACACGCAAGCTGCGATGGATCTCTGCGTTCAGTTCAGCGCCAGATTCTGCAGCTTCGGACATTGAGATCTAAGTGTCTGAATTACCCAATATTGGTGTCCTGCATGCAAATTCGCTGGTACCCACCAGCAGGAGACGGATCGGTCGCTTTCAAAGGCAAAGAAAGAGGAGAAGCGCGTGCAACGCACATGATTAGCACAAACCGTTTCTTCGATGCAGACAACGACGGCGAACTGGGACCAAGGGTCAAGGGCCTTTCTAGAAGGGTTGGTACGATAGCTGCATACGAATGCTCGTGCCAGCTTGGGATATTTGGTGAAATGCCTTCGCATGCGTGGACGATCCAGTGAATTTCGCGATGGAGGAAGAGTCGAAGCAAAGATTCGCTTTCACAATTACTGAGAGAAAACAAAAGAAAGTTGCGGGTAGTGGAGTAGAGTAGGACGAGAGTGAGATATGGGCCGTCGATGGCCATCAACGCTCGCCATCTTGCCCTTTCCAGTCACCTCAGAACACTCGAGTCCCACTATTTTAGCACCGCGATGTTTTTTTCCCGCGCGGGGGAACAGGTATTACAAGGTACGGGCAATACGAGGGTGGGGGTATCGAGGGCGAAGACCAAGAATGCAGACTCGCGCCGGAGCTGGATATCCAGTCGATTTCGGACGAGGAATCCTTCTTGAGTGCGTCGTCCAGGGAATCCAGAAAGTCGAAGGGACGTGCATGTCGACGGGCGCGATTACGTTCAAGGGGGAGAGCCGCGAGCTTCGCCGACGCAGCTCGTACGCCCTGGAAGGCGGAGTGAAGTCGCGAGTCGTTGGCGGGCTGCAGGGTAAGGGTGTAGCCTCGAGGACGCGGTAGGGCAGCGGGAGGTGCGTATGGATGTCACCGAACCGGGAATATGCAAGTGTAGGGTGTCGTGCGGTGTATGACCGGCGGCGGTGCGCGTCTTCTTGCTTGCACGGAAGGAATGCAAGGCTGAGTCCGACAGCTGGCCTCCCCTCCCAAAGTTTCCGCCAATGAGACTCTGCCATCTCCACGCCCGCGACGGCACCGCCGTCTTCTACCCATCGCGCGGCTCCAATTCTCACTCGACCTGTCCGAGCGGGTGGCACCGAAGGTCATGCGCGCGCGCGCCCAGCGCCGAGAGCGATTGACGTCTGTTGTACGGGGCACAAGGAAAGATTGTGCCGCTCCGCTTCTCACGCGCAGTCCACATTCTCTCCCTCTCCTCCTCGCCTCCTCCACTCCTGCGCCTCGCGCTGCCGTATCCCGCGCCAAACTAGTGCTCGACGCAGCTGCCGCCCGTACGGAGATGATCACGTATCGTGATATCGCAGTGCACCGAGCCCAGATCATGTGCGCGTGCCCCTACCCTCCGACGTACGTCTGGCCAGGGGTGCTGGAGCGAATACACTGCGCCCACGTCTACGCCCGCCGCGCCGCGCGGGAGCCGCGAGTACTGAGGTCGGCGCGAGGATTCGGAAGCGCAGGGATGCGAGAGGAGATGCGGAGAGATGGAGATGAACGGGCGGCAGGGCGTGACAACGGCGAGAAAGAACTTCGCATCGGTCCCCGCTCCTGCTGAGGGATGTGTCGCAGTGGGGGAGCATTTGGAGCAGACAAGCTGATGGGATAGCGGCCGCGCCTACGTAAGTGCCGACGTAGACCCGTCCGCCTTCCCGCATCTGCAGCGCCGCCCCGCTCCCGTCGCACAGGAAAGCCGATGGGA